ATAGCAGTTCTGCTCTTTTTGTGAGCCGTCTGAAAAGAGCGTTTCAAAGATCGGCCAAAAACCTCGAACAAGTACGGATTTGGTTCTATAGTTTGGTTTTCAGTTTCACAGACAGGCTGCTGAACCAGGCAGTGCTGCAATACATCACTACAGTCTGAAGCACTGATTTAGGAAACAGAAGAACCATCTGGCTGTTTGCTCAGAAAGATGTAACCCTATGAAGAAAGTGAACATGCTGCTGGATCTCTGTGTGAGGAGTCCATGACATCAAAACACCAACCGACAACACACAGCGTCTGCACTGTGAGCTGACATGAACATAATTTTCTGTTTTTTTTGTGTTCCCATTAAGAGCATTTTTGTCAAACCATCCTATTCACCCCTCTGCAGTGGCCGTCATCTCTGTCAGCAGGGTGCAAAACTATACTAGTGATGGAGTCAGAAATGCACAAAGAGGCATTTTTGTAAAAGCAAAGCTGAATTATTTCAGCCTCCAGGCAGCCCGCCATTAGCTCTGATCTAAGAAGAAGTCTATCATTCCCCTTTACCAACTCTATTCTATTTGTAAGACATTAGTTTTGACAGCAACTACGATGTAGATTTAACCTCGACTGACACAATTAAATCCAAAGCAAATCACTCTGAACTGTATAAATGCTGATAAGAACTCCAAGGAAACCGCTTCTATATCTCGGGTTTGTCAAGATGTTTGGAAAAAAGATGCACAAGTGTGACTACAGCATTGTCTGTACTGTGACCTTTTTTGTATAGTTGAAATGCTGAACTACTCCCTTTTCAAGTGATCTAACAACAACAGATGTGAGTGCTGACGGCCGATAACCACGGTGGTCTTTAGGAAACTGTTTTCTGGAGAGGAGATTGTAATGAGAGGTTCTCAAGGCTGATGGGATAATGTGAGCATCAACACAAAGTTAAAAAAAGGGATTAGCAAACAGTGATAGTTCACCGGACCAGAGCACTACATAGGGCAGGACCGTAACCATTCTTACGCCTTATTTCATCTGCAGTAATGACGATGATGTCTGTGCTTGTAGGTGTAAAACTCTCAGGCAAATCTGCACATTTGCCAGTTGTCAAAACGAGAGAAAAAGGTCATCCACGAACAAAAGCTCATTGTCTGTTGTACTATGTTTGCCCAAAGATGACATTCCTGGTATCCTCTTCATGATGTTCCAGAGACTTTTCAGGTTCTTGACATAAAAATAATTTGTCTGGATGCCTGTCAGCCCCCCGAGTTTCCTCCTAAAGTTCTTTTCAACTCATTGATACTTAATAAAATGATTATTGGTTACATACTATTTATTATTATAGATAAGAGGTTGTTCTTCTACCCATAGATATAAGACAAAACTAAAAATATCCTCAAAATAGTTTACTAACAGAATAATACACCAACACAACATTAGCAGCTGTGACACAAACCGCTGCTGAGCCTGTCTGTCGCTGTGAGTGTGTCAAAAGAAAGTGAACAATACGGCGCCCAGATAGTGTTCATGTCCGTGTGGTGTGCTGGTGTGTGCTACCGTATACGTTGACGGTGGTTGTCTGGTTGGTGGCTCCAATGGCATTCTCAGCCAAACAGGTGTAGTCGCCGGCATCATCCAACCGAACTCTCTCAATATGCAGACTGCCGTCCCGCCTCACCGTCACGTACTGGTCTGATGTCACCTGGCAGATTGGAGGTTCAATTAGGTTCAAATGAAAGCCTGGTAATTTAACACAGATGCAACATAAAGGCACGCAAGGCGCATAAAAACTCTCACCAGGCCATAGTTGTGCAGCCACTGCCTCTCAGGCAGCGGATTGCCAGCCAGCAGCACACAGGGCAGCGTCAGCTGCTGGTCCTCGATCACGCTGAGCACAGCTGGACTCAACGCAATGACAGGTGACACTGCAACCAGAATCAGAAACAGGTTTATCGCCAGGTTTAGTTTACACAATGCAAGGAATCTGTTCTGGTGGGTTGGTGCAACTATAGAAAGAAGAAAAAAATAGAAGCTGCAAATATAAACATAAAAATATAAAAAGAATAATAACAGTGAACACATAGCATGAAAACAATCATACAAAAAGTTCTGAAAAGGAATCTAGGAAGCTGAGATGACAACAATAAAATGTTAAAAAATGGTTAAACAAATGAAGAAAAAAGGACAAATGTTTAAAATCTGTAGTCAACAGCGTGAACAGTAAGCCTGGTTGAATACATTTTATTAAATACTTAAAAATAAAAACAACTATTGTAAATACTTTTGACAATAGTCATAGAAGTTAAGACTCTTGTCAAAAGATTTTTGCCACAGTCAGATTTAAAGGAAACACGTGTGTTTGCGTGTAGAGACTATAACGTATGGTGAGCGCTCGGTTGCTATAAACACATCAACAATACATATACACAGGATATACTGTCGACAGCTGCTAAAACTATGGACACACCCGTATCGTCCATCACATATGTATATTTATGCACAGCACATGCATAAGCACACACACACACACACACACACACACACACTAATGACATGTAGCATCACGTTTGTGTGGTTTGAGTGGTCTGGGGTGTTCACACAGACAGCGCTGATGTCATTGGCGGGGGCTGTGACAGACAACAGGGAGGCGGCGAGGCGGATTTGACGACCACCCTGTCTGGCCTGGGAACACAGCCTCTGACACACACACACACAAACACACACTCAAGCAGCGGATACACCAACTTCCTCACTCTCTGAAGAAACTACTGTACGTGTGCTCCTGCGCTGGGTGTGCATATCTTCTGGGGAAACGCTGTCAGTAGGGAAATAGGGCAGTGGGGCAGTAATATATGTCATCTGGGTGGGTCTCTGCTTCCTAACCTTTGGCCCACATATAGTAGCTCAGTGTGTTTCCACTGTAGAGACACGGTGAAACTGAAATAGTGGTTAACAAGGCACATGTGTTCAAACACACCCGCTGAAATGTGCTAATGAACTCACACTCATGTGTAAAGGCTGAAACAGAAACACACACACACGCACAAAGACATGCAGACAGATGTAGGCACTCAGAGGCACCGTATGTAGAATATGCACTTGGCATGAGAAGGAGATATGATCTTTGGCAATGATTAGACATACTCAGAAAAATCCATGTGAGAGTGTGCATAAGCATTTTGCGGTCCACAGGACTTTGGCTTTGAAGCACATTTCAAGAAAGACAATCTGAGCAGTCCAGTACGCCTTCACTAAACCTACTGCATGCACACCGTTATTGATTTCCCCTGGGTAATCATAAATATAGCAAATTGTTCAATCTACGATGTGTCCAGATGTCTGCTTTTCTTTTTTGGTGCATGACCAACACCAGCTTTTATTTGACGGTGAACATGAGACATGAGTTTTTGTGCTCGGAGAATCAGAAAAAACAACATCCAATCCAAGAAACAGAACATTTCACATGCTGATCTTACCCAGTCCTGTCACAGTGATTCTAGCCCGGGTTTGGATGCTGCCAAAGTGGTTTTGGGCCTCACAGATATACACCGCTTCATCTTCCACCCAAAGGTCTGAAAACAGGAGGGATAATAATGTATAAGCCAAGAGTATTCATGCGTTTAGTGTAAAAGCACTAACCTGAAACACTTACTGTAGATATGTAGATCTCCTTTGCGCTGTGAGATAGTGCCTTGTACGCGGGGCCGGTTGAAAAGGGGGGCGCCGTCCTCTCTTCTCCAGGTTACATGAGGTTCAGGGTGACCTTGGGCGTGACACGGCAGGGTCACGTTGAAGCCGATGTCCACCTCCACGTCTGACGGCTCTCGGGTGAACTTGGGTGCAGCTGGAACAGTCAAGACGATAAAGGTCAAAAACTTGAGGAGATACTCGACCATCTGTACTGAATTCTACAGACAGTAAAGCTGTCCATCATGTTTGCTTTGAGTTGTTCTCGAGAACAAAAGAAATGTGCAAATCTAGTATTCACACCAACTTTATAGACCTTTGGGTATATAGTGTTGAACTGTATACAGCTCAGTAGTATATGGATGTGAATACACCCCCTGTGTAACCTTGTTTGGGTGTAAACCAGACACATTCTTGGTCTGGCAAAGACATCATTCATTAAAACCACAACAGGAGTGTTTGTGTCGCTATACAACAGCGTACGGCAGACTGTGAAACACAACAGGCAGTTCATTGATGTTTCAAGGCTCCTGCCAAGATTCACTCTTTGCTTCATTCACTGTCAGATCACACTCAGTTCATCTCACTGACGCGTGTGCATGGTGTAAAGTGTGTGTGAAGACGCAAGGTTTGTAACACACACCTTCTTCAGAGAACATGTGCATCATTTATACATCTGGCCTCAGAACTACGTTTTGCAGCTACGCTTGAGTTCACTGAGGGGATAAAGTCACTACCAGAGGCTACTGCACAGAGGTGAAATCCCACCGAACTGCAGGCTGAGCTTCTGTTTAAAAACTTTACATTCCAGTGGATTTTCTCATAGAGAGTCTCATCAATCTTTCTGATAAGCTAATACTGAGTACCGTAATGTCCGGACTATAAGCTGCTACTTTTTCACACGCTTTGAACACTGATGCGGCTAATTAATGGATTTTTATGATTTTTACGAATTTGTCGTAAGTGACGTTGAGAGCGACAACAAAAGAAAGACTGAGGAACGACGTAATTGTGAGGCTGTTCAGCTCCTGAAGACACTGAAGAAGACGACTTTAGTGGTTTCAGAGCAGGAGGAAGATGAAGATAGCGATCAGTGACTTTTCCTGGTAGGCTGCTGGAGTTTTTATTTTCCAAACCAGCCGTGTTACAGACGCTGTTCGGAAAAAAAGCATTTACATATTTGTGGATGTTACCGGATTAATTAAAAGTTTTTTAAAAAATCATTCTGTGTGAATATCTCATGCTGCAACGAGAACACCTGCAGCTTGTAGACAAGTACGGCTGATATACGTACAATTTGTTTTTCTTTTTAAAGTTAGTGGCTTATATTCAGGTGCGCTCAATAGTCTGAAAATTACGGTTCTGAGTTTTAGATAAGTGTCTAATTCTAGACTGGATGGTTAAAACTACCTTCATAGTCCAGAACAGAAGCTGAAACAGAAAACTCCGGTCTCAGTACATCCTGACATCCAACTGCCTTCACTGTCTGTAGCGACATCGCAGCACAAAAAACCAAGAAGTGACACCGTCGTGCTTTTACGCGACTCTCACCTCCTACATCGAGGGAGATCTTTCCAGACGAGGTGCCAGCAGCGCTGACGGCCACACAGGTGTACTCTCCAGCGTCAACATTCTGGGTCTCCTTGATGGTCAGTGTCCCTCCCAGTGGGTCCACCTCCAAGAGGGACGACGAATGCAGCCGGACATCACCTTGAAATCAGAGCAAACACAACAGTGGAGTGTGGTTAGCTTGGTCCTAAACTATAAATTATATATTTAAATTGTGTTTTACCTCCGTACCACGCTTTACATTCGTAGTTCAGTTCATTCTATTTTTGTTTTCTAAAACTATGTTGGACCTTGAAGGGCTTCCTTCAGCTTCTAAGGTGCTACCTTTGTACCACCAGATCTCCGGCTGAGGGACTCCAGATGCTGAACAGGCCATCACCGTGGTTTCTCCAGTGCCAATGAGAATCTCACTTAAAGCCACAGTCACCACAGGAGGTTCTAGAAAAGGACAATTGTTGAAAGATGGACAAAACATCAGCATGTCTGAGAGATAAAAGTAGACGTTCTCTTTATTTCCACTGTGTGGATGTGCGCTGTGTGTGGAACGCACCGATGTACGTGAGGATGGAGGTCATGGAGTCCGTCCCAGCCTGGTTACTGGCCAGGCAGCCGTACACTCCTCCATCCTTCTCCTCCATGTTTCTTATCACCAGAGTGCCATCAGGAGTCATTCTGTGTCTGATCATAGAGACAGAAGATGTACAACTTGGCATTTTTCTAGAATTTGTGCAAAAGGTTTCATTTGAACCTCACAGTGTGTTATAATTCAGGAGGTTAAAGAGGAAACAGAATTTCTGCACCTCCTCCTGACTGCATGGACAGACTGAGGCTTTTTTATTGTAGTATCTAGCTCTCTACCTGCTGGATGCCATTATGAACATGTCGTTGTGGGTCCAGACCAGGCGGGGAGCAGGATAGCCGCTGGCCGAGCACCTGATCCTCACGTCCTCTCCTTTGCTGAAGGTCTGATTTCGTGGCTCCACTGACACCCTGGGCACCGCTAGAGGAAAGAGATGTCACAAAGTCAGCATAAATCAGCTGATTGGTCAACAAATCAATCAGTCGACATCAGCTGCTACGGGAAGGTAAGTAGTGTAAATGTGGGAAAGATCAGGAAAAGCTCTTGACAAGAACATATCAAAGTGTGAACACATCCAACTCCAGGATTCTTCACCAAACACCAGATGGATTAAAGTTCAGTCACAAGACGAAGCAATGCAGGAACTTCTGTTGTCACTGCTGCAGAAAGACTGACGCTGTTACGACAACTAATAATGTTTCACAGCGTATTTTTCACCCTCATTTCCTCTTTATTGGTAAAACAGGAAGGAATATTGAATCCAGACACCGAGAAGCTGTTGAATCCAGAGAGATTTTCCAATTGATTCATGATGTGTAACTAATCTCTTTAAGGGTGTGTTTTCTCTATTCTATCCCCACTGCTGCAGTCGTCTCCAGCCTCTCCGGCCTTTCCAACTTGTATAAAAATCTTTGTGAGAGTCTTTTCAACGTCGACGCGCTTCCAAAACAACAAATTTAGAATTAGTGTAAGACGCCAGAGAGGAATTAATTTTGAGGGATTTATTTTTTCCCTTGGCTGGAGGAAGGAAGGCCGTCTGTCCTCGTGTGCCATCGATTAACTACTGTATGAAAGTCTCTTCGGGTTAGCGGAGGGAATGCGCTGAGCTGATCGGGTACCAGCGGTTACAGGTTCAAGAGGCTGGAGGGACACATACGAGTACAGCAGGTGTGAAGGAATGTGTAGAGTTTTGTGTGTCAATCATCAGAGACGCCGCTTTCTAAAGGACATATAGCACATCAACAGACAACACTTTTGATATATTACAACCTTGACTTGAAAACAAATTGAAATGCCTGAGCGTTCTGTCATATTGATCTTAATCTCAGCGGCACCGAAAGCTGTACAGTGTGGGCTGTACAACGCAGACAAGGTTAGAAATGAGGGCATGAGAACAACTGTAAGGCCCCTCTTCCTCCTCACCTGTATCCAGGTCATCCTGCCCTAAGGGGAGGACACCTCAGTGGAGTTCAGAAACGAGGAGGTTCCAGAGAGGGACGACACATTCTTCTACCCTGACTCAGCAGCAGCTTCTCTTTATCACCTGCTCCTTCTTTCCTCTCTTTACCACCTTCACTCATCTGCTATCACTGCCTCTTACGCTGCATCTTCCTTCCATCCCGACCATCCTACTAAATCCTCCACCCCTTCATCCCCCACCGTCGTTCCCTTTCTCAGATTACATCCACATACTGATTTAAAAATGCTGTTCATACATGATAACAATTTGCATTATTGTGAGAAGAAATCCAGAAACAAACAAAACTTTTACACAACTGGTACAATTTTTTTCCAGTTTTTTTCTTTCTTCTCCTTTTTTTTTTCATCATCAACTCGCGATTTATTTGTTCTTTTAACATATCTCTTTGATTACTTCCTAAACAACTGAACCTGCAGAAAATGACATTACTGCATGACTGAACAATTGTCTGACAAAATTTACACAATGCAGCTCAATGGCACCAAATACTGTGATATAATGTCATTTAACACGAAGAAATGGTAAAGACAGAACACCAAAATGAAAAATATCCATTGATCCATTGATCCATTGATCCATCCATTCATCCATCCATCCATCCATCCATCCATCCACCGTTTAATCCTAAGATGAAAAATGTGCATTTTGAAATTCTGACAATTTCATGTGGCCATGTTCTCGGTTCCACTGTGTTACATCCGAGTGTTGTGAGATGTCAGCAGACATGACTTACTTCAAAGTGAGACTAATCACTAGGATGGAACTAACCGGGGGGTAATTAAGAAACCCCCAGGGCTTGCTAACAGCTGTTTTAGAGAGAAAAGGT